GTGTGACAGAATCGATATAAAAGCAGTCACAATATATTCATATTTTAAAATCTATAAAAAGTCTAAAATATCTCATTAACTAAATCTTGCTGCTGCTGATAAAAATGATTTTAACGTAATTAATACTAAGCATTAATCTGTCCGCTGCAATGCTGCCGAAATTGTTACCATCTCCACCATGTAAACTGACAAACGATCGGAGGTTCTCCTGTTCACTGAAACTTTTGAGTCAGGTATACCCATTGCATGACACTGTTCGTACGAAACTTAAAAGTAAAGAAATCTGTTAAAAAGAAGAAAACCTCTTCAGATCTTAAAGTGAGAGATGAATGTGTGACAAGTGAAACATTGACATGTTTTGCATCTTTACTTTTCTTCTAGAGCCAGCAGTGAAAAAACAATCAAACCAAAGATTATCATTGTTGATCTTTTCTCCAACGATGTTACCCTCCAAAGGAACAATTGGTCACAAATGTTTGTACCTCCATTATATAAAAACCTTTGTCGTATCAAAATGTGCAAAGGTTTATTTGAAGATTATTATCGTGTAATACACGAGGAATAGTTAACACGTTAGATTGGGGGATGCAGAAAGGTTTGTAAATGATTTAGCCATATGTTTACACAGCATTTATAACAGGTGAGGAGCACTTCATGGTTTGTTCTGCAGTGCTTCTCTGTGTTGGCTGTTTCTGCAGGCTTGGGAGTAGCCAGCTATCTTCTCAGAAACATGGAGCCTTGTAGTCAGGTCATAACTGGTTCAGAGGTCCACATTAACGCCCGGAACCACACACTCCGCAAAGAACTCAAGTCTCTGACTCACTCTGTCCTGAGCGAATGTAAACACCGACCCGCCTGGATCCCCTGACTCTAGATCATTTATAAATGTTTATTTACTTAAAAACAAGTTATATTTAAGCTTTTAAAAATGGCTTGATCAAAAAGTTTCTGTGCTTTGAATGGGCTAACTTACAAGTGATTAATGATGCATCAACAAATTATTTACTGATCATTTACTAATCATCTGTTCATGATTAACCAATGTGTACAGAGAAACTGATACTTGCATGCGTTCAAATCTTTGCATGACTTACAAGTGATTCACAAGACATCAAACATTACTTATATCATTTACTCACGATTTGTTCGTGAACATTTCATGATTTACTAACAGTTTACAAATGACTTGCAAATATGTGAACATAGCAACTATTAATCATTCGCGAATGGATATTAACATTTTGTAAATGATTAGTTCCTCATTAACTAAACGCCTGTAAAAGACTTGACTGAACATTATTATAAAGTGTGACATAGATATTTGTTTTTTACAGAGCCCGTCTGGTGACATTGGTGGAGAAAACAAAAATTCCGTGGCCACGAATTAATAACGCGTGGGAACGAGATCCTGTCCTGTGGCCACGACTTGTTTAATACGTGGGAACGAGGTCCTGTCCCGTGGCCACGACTTGTTTAATACGTGGGAACGAAGTCCTGTCCCGTGGCCACGACTTGTTTAATACGTGGGAACGAGATGCTATTCCGTGGCCACGAATTAACAAGACGTGGCCGTGAGAAATGTTTGTCATTTCATCAGTGAGACTGTTGACTTTCTGGCATCAGTAGCTTCAGCCGCAAACATGGACAAGTTTGATCTGATTTCGTTTTATTTTAACTAGGGATGAATTATAATGATAGTGTAGTGACCCTGCTGTCCAGCTGGACTGGCTGTCTGTCTCTCGGCCAATCAAGGAAGTGCATGTTGAAAATGCTGAGTATGCGCGCCTTTGATTGGTGGGTGTGGCAGGGCCGGTGTGTGTGTGGAACGGAGGGCGAATGGACCGTTGAGATACGTCTCTGTGTGCGGGAGTTCACAAAGTTTGTTTGTGGTAAAAAGAACGAGAATAAAGGTCCTGAAGACATCACACCCTGTCTCCTCATTACTTCTGCCGGCGTTACAATATCCTGAAATCACTTGCTGTTAGACATGGAGTCATTCTGAGCAAGAGACACTTAATTTGGCTGCTCGAAAAGCACGGGCTCAAACGTAAACAATATGCTGACCTCAGGGAAGTTATAGATTTCATCATGCGTTTTATTCATTCGTGGCCACCTAATACTCATCTTGTTCCCACGCATTAAGCAAGTCGTGGCCACGGGACAGGATCTTGTTCCCACGCGTAATTATTTCGTGGCCACGGAATTTTTTTTTT